TTAGTACAAGGTTTATGAAGATAAAGGACTTGCCAGATGTTCAATCGTTAATTGGATTGATTGTTTTAGTGAAGAAAGGGGGGGGGTTAAAATTATGTTTGTTCTGTTGTCCAGTGAAAGCAAGCTGGGGAAGAGATGTGTCCTTAGTTTAGCAATTTGTTAAGAAAGATCGCCAAGTTACATTTAGAAAAATAGTTGAATATGTTAACAATAATATAATTATTAAATCTCTAAAATATCATTTACTTTAGACTTTAACCATATTAGATATGATAAAAGAAGGCGTCCATATGCAGCTAGGTTAAGGACGCCCATGCAATATACGCCTGAAAATATTCAGACAAGGAATACAATCTTAATATCTTTTTTAAACAGCATTAGTTTTGATAAATGTGAATTGTGGTGTTTGCACTTGTTTATATCGGGTCTATGCTGAGTTCGGCCAAATCGACAATGCTTGCATCAGCTGTTTGTCACGTGACAGGTTTGAAATTAGAACATATATGTACTTCTACAAAGATCGTAAAAGTTCAACGATATACGGGTATCTTTCCACTATAATATTTATTCTGTTTTCTTTGAGACAAATTTCTTAACATGAAAAGTGCTGGGAGCTTCCTCATGCTCAGGAATTGCGAAAAAATTATCCGTTTTTCTATGAACTCCAGATAATGTAATACGCATCGGAATAATGTTACATTACGAAATAAATAAACAATGCACAACTAGCTCTCAGCACTTTTCAAAATAATAGGAATAATAGCTACAAGTGTTTAAAAATTCATAATTTATAGTGAAGTGGGTAACGTTGAACTTTTGATAGTTTTGAGGGGCTTGACCTGTCATTCTATCACGTTACTGTACAAATGTGTTCTCTAAGGCTCTATAATTATAAAGTCTACACATTATCAAATGAATTTAGTTTGACAATAAAGTGTGGATTAATATATTTTAGAATATGTCTCTTTTTTGGTCCGATTACGTTTGTTTCGTATTTATTCTTATTTTTTATAAACTACGATAATAGCTTGATCCACGCCTCAAGTACAAAGAAACTGCGTGTCAAACTAAGAAATGACGTCATTTCAATAAATACAGCGAGATCAAACTGGTTTTCATTCTACATTCGCTACGTGCTATCATGGCAAGATAAGTTGCACATCAATTTACAATATTAATGAGAAACGAAGGTATTTGAGTGTTTTAAAAAGACCATATAGTAATTATCTAACGAGATTCATTTGTATTGGTTTAACGTAACATCATAATAGCTTTCCCGAACCTCTGCATAGGCTGACGTATATATGGGAGTCCTTAACCTAGTTGCGCACTTAATTCACATTGGATAAAAGAGGCTCCCAAGACGGAGGACTCGGGTTTTGATGGTCATCATGCTCATTCTAGGAGGGACATCCTTATTTACCCATCCAATAGCCGAGATCTGGACATTTCTGACAAATGTACTGTTTTTGTTATAAAAATAACTTGAATGGTAAGAAATATAAGACTCGGAAGAATCTTTTAGCTTATATGGACAGAAGCCTACTAAGCATGTCACGTGACAACCTGGATCACGTGATTCGCGCATGGGCAGAACGGTGGCAGATGTGCATTAAAATCGGAGAGGACTACTTTACAAAATAATGAAAATTGAAACTTAATTTTATTTGTTTTATGGAAGTAATTCAATTAGTTCGCGAACTTTTCGATCACCCCTCGTATTTAACAAACTTATTCCCAACCGGGTGCCTGACTTTTGTATCTAGGGGATACAGATTTCAAAGCTTGTTGTACCTACATAAATAGAATCAACTTGATTTCTATCTGATTATTTTTTATTAAAATGTATGTTCAACTTATATAATTATAAATTGCCATGGCCTACCAAATGGGATAGTACCTTGACAAAAACATGAAGTTTACTTTTTTGGTAGATAGCTAGCTTTGTATCATAATCAAGCAAACTTTGAGTAATACTTTTATTTGTCCTGTAATATAAAACAAAATTTATTAATGGAAGTTAGTTTAATTTTGATACTTAAGTTCATATTTTCAAGGCCTTAGAAAGATGCAGACCATAAAATTCATCCATTGCGCATATCGCACAGGCAAACAGATATAAAGAAGTCAGTTGACATTTAGGGTATGTACAAAAGTGAATATTTTCAGGTCCTTTCCTCAATATTTTACCAGAAACATATATCGTATGAAAGGTTTGAGTGTTGACAAAAAAGATTAAATTAAGCAGATACTCTAGTAACATTTTCGACACAATATACTTTTGAGCTTGATTACTGTTCGTTATCTCCATATTTTATTGATGAAATATATAAAATACCCTTTGACGTGTATGTAGTTAAGAATTTTATTTTACTTAGCAAGGACATGAACGCCTAACAGAGGTTATATCTCTTTAAAAAAGTGTGTCTGGACATTTTCTAGAACATATTGCAATTTAAGAAAACAATAGGTTTACTTTATTATATAGTCTTTTAATTGTTGCTCTGTAACCTAATACAGATGCGATCGGTTCATAACACTACATACTAGTATTCACTCTATTTGAGTTCGTATTCACCGGAGGGTCAGTGCGCGTGCAGCGGCACTTTCGACGTCACAAACAACACCTCAAATAATGTTGTAAACAATGGCTGCAACGGCTGAGTCAGCTGTGCATCTGAGCAGGAAAAAATTTAGGCAAGCCTATTGCTGGAATATTTGTTAAACATGCGAAAATACATTAATCAGTGCCATCTAGATAAAAATAATCGATGCATATCGACTGCCAGGCTTTCAAAAATGCATCTCAAAATCTTGAAATTCTTCCTCATCCTTCCAACACATACAACAAAGAAACTGTACATGTACAAGAACATTAGCACATCACTTTGACCTTTAAAAAAAAATTGCATTACATCCAAATCTTTTGATTTTCAGCTATTTATATCTGACATCAATGCTTTTGGTTTTACCATCAAAAATTTTCCCTTTATATTACGTTTGCTTCCTTCACTACATGTAAAATGTTTCTAAATTTTGAAAAACTCTTGGAAAAAAATGCAGTTGAATTGATTTTCAGATTTGCTATGCATGTCAACAATGAAATGAGTATCAATTACAGGATGGTTCTTTTATGATGATTAAAGATTGGGCATAATTATAACTATATGAGAAATGTAAGTATGGTACATGTTCTATATCAAAATCATTAATGTACATGTACGAGGGTTGTCCCAGAAAAAGCGAATGTTTTATTTTATTTTATTTTTTTTGTTTTTGTTTCACTAGTATTAACAGGTGGAAAATGGCATGCACCACAATGGATTTTTTAGTATTAAATAGAAATTTCAATAAAATATCTATATGATTGGAAAGTTTTTTCTTCTCAGGCAACACTGACTTCGACACAACAAAGCTCATTTTAGCTGCAGAACTGTAGCGTTATGGTTTTATATTTACATTTGCAAATGTTTTCTTTTATATAACACTATTATGAAAGCAATGCGTATTTATCTCCGTATAAACACGGGTTTCTCACGTCATAAATGTTCGACGTAATTTTTCAGTGACGTCATAAAGGGTCGAAGATCAATCAATGGATCAAACACGTGTCGTTGAGTTTGAAAAATAAACCATTTCACGCTTTAAAGATTCAATCAGGCAAGTATAAAATACAAATACGTCAGAAATGTAAATATAAGTAATAAGTTATCATTTTAAGACATCCATTGGGATATTAATACGGGTTGGTACAAAATTAAATTTACCATAAAGCCCTTCGGGGTTTATAAAATGTGATCTTGTTACCAACCCGTATTTACATCCTGATAGATGTTTAAAAGGAAATATATGGAGATAACGAACAGTATTCAAGCTCAAAAGTCCATTAAACATTACAGAATAGGAGCAGAGCAAACACGGACCTCCAAAACATCAGAGGTGGGATCAGGTGCGATGGAGGAGTGAGCATTCCCTGCCGACCGAAATGAAACCTTATTTCTTAAATATATTTAGTCTTTCACCATAACGCTACAGATCCCGTAAAGCAAATAAGGTGCACTGTTGGGGAGAATATCACCACTTTCCAGCATTGGTCAATCAACTACCATTCACTCCCTAATTCTAGACACATTTTTAAATCAACCTGTATAGGTTATCCACTTCCCAACCCTTGACAGTCGTCTCTCGTTTGTTTAATATTTTTTGTCGGATGGCGGAAAATTCAAAACAAGCGAGTTAATTGGTCTATAAAGACGACGACTATGAAGGGTTAGGAGGTGAATAAAATATACAGGTTGATTTAAAATTGTGTCTAGAATTAGGGAGTGAAAGGTAATTGATTGACCAATGCTGGAAAGTGGGGGTAATTCTAAACAAACGAGTTTATTGGTCTCTAGAGACGACTGTAAAGGGTTTGGAGCAGAAATCTTGCGCCGTAAATTGTAGAGTTATGGTCAAAGACTAATATATAGAACTATAACGCAACAATTCTGCTGCTAAGCTTGTTTATGAATATGATTATGAATCTTGTGTCTTCAAAAAATCGTATAAAGCATAAATTCGACACTGCATTTGATTTATTTATCCATCTTACACAGACTACAATTACGAAAAGATCGCGCAATTTATTTTTTTTTTATAGACAATTTCTCACCTCGATCAAAAACTTAACTACTCGCATAGGTTAACGGCGGTCTCCAAAAAGAGTTCTAATGGATGTAAATTTTGTCACATTATGGTTCCGTATAGCCTGGTTATAATTAAAACAATGTCAACAATGTTATTTTTAAGTTTAAAAATTGCATTGCGGCGAACACCGATATTTTAGATTTCTACGTGCATATATTTTCAGAACTTTGTAATATTTTGCCAAAAATGGAAAAAAATATAGATTTTATTTTTTAATTTTTAAGCAACATTAAAAAAAAAAAGATGAATGAGGTCAGCTAATTTATGGTATATTTTAAATGCTCGCTTTTTCTGGGATAACCCTTGTATATTTAAAACTTATAATTAACTGTAATTTCACATATCTGGATATATGTAAAATTTTGAATCACTCCATTAGAAAAAGGGTAAGTAACTCCAGGAATTCTCTCATTGTATACCATAGCATAACGTCCAAATGAAACACAAACGTGTGTGGAGATTAAGTCTGGTAAGTCAGGTCCACTATGATTGTAGCAATGATGCAAATTCTCCAAGTTGCTTAAGTCTAATGTGTTTGAAACATAAATTTGGTAGCCATACGTGAGCTCTCTTTGTCGTTGTTCTAGGAAAGAAATTAATTTAGCAGATGACTTAAAGTACATCAAACTTCATCATCTCGAACTCATTAAGACCAAGGAAAACTTCGATATATATGAGAATTCGAAGTATCCAGGGTAAAATACTTAAAGAATAAAGGGTTGGAACTTCCAAATCACTTTGACAAATCTATGGTATTCGAGATATCGAAGTTCAATTATAATCATTTTAATCATGCGCTTTCAAAACTAATTCCCCATATGGATACAATGATACTCTTAGAACCAGTGAATCGGATAAAAGCCACCAATTTAGTTAGATTTTTCATCAAACTTTCCCACGATAAGCCATGAAAATTTTTGTTTAATAAATACAACAAAGAGTGAAACACTTGATTGTCTGGACTGGTATTATGATATCATGTCAGTGCATTCCGATCAATGGAACGTTAAAAACCCATTGCATTTCAAAATATTTATTCAAACTTGATAATAAAGGTTTTTGATCGATACTGCAATGGAAATAACAATATACATATATTAAAAGAATATGAAGCATGTTACCAAGTAAAATTAACGAAAGATAAACTCATCATAATCAAATGTCTTTGATATTTGTAGGATCCATTTTGAATACAAGAATAGCTGAAATACAATTTACTAAAATAACCCTAACAAAAAAATACTATAGTTTAAAACTATAATTTGCTATAGAGTCAAAGATTTTACTATAGTAAATCAAGGTTTTTACTTTAGTAAATCAAAGTATTATAACTATGGATTTTAGCTTGTTATATTTAATGTGTTCCAATTTAAACATGCACATCTTTATATTTGATGGAACTTTTACCTGTTAATCCAAATATTATTACCAAATTTAACATCGCTATTATCGAATTTAAGAGATTTTTCTAGTGGTGGCTTCTTGAACTCGGTAGCTAAAGACCGAAAATATTAGCACTTCAGGTAAACCTTCTTCATTAAACTTTGCAATTTAAAATGAAATCTTAGTCTAGGCATCAGACGTGTTCTCTCAAATATTCAAGAAATAATATTTGTTCGTTTTATTTAATTTCATTGGAAAAAAAAACTTAGATATCGATATCTAGAATGTTTAATTACTTTTCAAAAATTTAGTGACACATTGAACATAGAGATGATGTTTTGATAATGAAGAAATGTGGTAAACAATAGGTCTACAATTTGAATGTCATAATTACTCAAGAATTTACAATCATAGACAATTCAAGGTCATTAAAGATAGATATTTTGCATCCCCCCTCCCCCCCCCCAAGAAACCAATGATCAATGGGGTTTAAAAGGATGCTGTGGCTTTGCAAGAATGCTCTTGTCAAACGAGGTGTATGAAGCTTAAAATTGTCAGATTGAAATACGGCTCCAGGATGCTGCCTTATTGGAATTTGGAAAGACATGAGCAGGTAACATTGTAAGAGTTCAGTTTTCCGTTAAAATCCTTTGAATAGGAACCAATTCAGTATTACTTGTTTTCCACTTCATTACACTATCACCACGAAATCAAAAAAACCTCCTCATACCCCTGGACGCAGTTTTTAGTAAAACATTTATTGCAAAACCTGTACACTCATTCTTACATCAGGCTTTGCAATAAACATATTGGACTAATAGCTAAACCACGCATGCATCAATCCTCTGGTGAATATTCTAGCATCCTGTAGTCAATTGCAAACGGTCTTGTTAGATATTTCAGGGATATCTAATGCTGTAGACGACGTCAATTGAAATGTAGATAAAAAATTAGATTACATTTAAACCACTGAAACGATCCTATTGTCTCGCGTGGTCTGCCATATTTATGGCGAACATTTGTTGTGCCATGCTGTTTGTACCTGTTTGTCAAAAACTTAACTCATTTTAAAAATTGTTCATACATACAGCATGCTCTTGCGTATTGAATCAACTGAGAGATATACAACCCACATGCAGGTTTGTTTGTTTGTTTGTTGTTTAACGTTCCTCTCGAGAATTTTTCACTCATATGGAGACGCCACCATTTGCCGGTGGAGAGCTGCAAATTTTGTCCTATACTCGGCACTTACGGTCATTGAGCAGTGAGGGATCTTTTTCGTGCCAGCACCTACTGCGACAAGGGACCTCGGTTTATATGGTCTCATCCGAAGGACCGGCCTCCACGTCCCACAGTGGGATTAGAACCCGCGACATAAGGATCAACTCCTTACTTTGCGACTCTAGAGCAGACGCTCTAACCACTGCGCCACGCGGGCGACCCCACATGCAGGTGGTAAGTGTATATTGCTGCATAAGTAAGGGAAGTTGACGATTGAAAAATCATGTTTATCATAAAGCTTGGATGTTAGATTAAAATTAACGTCTTTTTCTATTAAAATATCCAAATATGAAAGAGATTTTTAGACCCTGTAGTATCTTTTATTTCAAGCTCACTGGGATATATTGTCTCGACATATGAATGAAAATAAATATTGTTAATTGATAATATGTCGTCGATATATATAAATGTCGATTTGAAGGCCACAGCAAGAGATTTCTTTTTCTCATGTATAAGATTTTTAATACATTTTGCTTCATATGAATACAGAAATAGGTCTGCAAACAACGGGGTGCAATTGGTGCCCATGGCAATTCTAACAGATTGTTGGAAGACCTCGTCTCCAAAAACCACAGATATTTTCAATCAGAAACTCGAGCATTTTTTAATATCAACTTCACAGTACTTGTGAGTACAATCAGAATGTTTTTTAACAAAATAATTTTGCAAATGACCAACGACAAGGTAAGTAAATTTTTGAGTTCCATTTTTATTAAAAAACAGTTGTTAATGATGTCAAAAAGCCTGGACTTCAATTTATCGTGGGGAATGGTTGTAAACAGAGTTGAAAATTCGTAAGTTTTTATGTTATTGATTTTGGTAAAATTTTGTGATTTTAAATGTTCCAAAAGTTTCTTGGAATTTTTAAATATCCACATCTTATTTACACCACTGTCCACTGTTGCACAGTACTCCTGATGTTTCCTCTTCACTGCTGTTAATATTTTAGTGAGGAGTAAATAAAGAGGCTTGGTAGAACATTTATTGGAACCCGCTATGTATCTTTGTTTGCAAGGATTTTTATGAAGTTTCGGAATCTAATATAAATATGGTAATTCAAATTCATTTTGGTTGTTGGGAATATCAAAAATATTCAAAACTGACATATGATTTTGAAGAATATCCTCCGTAAAAAGGGAGCTATGGGTGTAAGTTGGATTGCCACTTGTAGAATTAAATCCCAGTTCTTCTTAAATACAATTAAAATAATGAGCCTTACAAACAAAGACAATGTTGTTACCTGCTTTATCATTTGGGACCAGTGCATACTGATCGTGTAGTCTATCTTTTTTTTCACTTTAGAATTATGGAACACCGAAGGATAGATGGTTTTCATTTTGCCCCTCAAACGCTTAAAGGACTTATCGCATGTTTCTAAATAATTTGAAATTAAAAGCGTAAAACGTTCCTTATGACCACAGTTTATAAATTTTGTGTTTTGCTGCGGATAAACCGCGGTAATTTACCAATTATTGACTCAAATGAAAACCCCTGAATTAAAAATCTAAGTTAATTAGATAGCGATCACGTGACCCTGTGACGTCAAAGGCGACAATGGCTGATCAGCTCTATAGTTAATCTTACTAAAATATACGCGATACAACATGGATATTCTGCATTGTGGACGACCACATCACTGATTTTATCGATACGAAATTGAATATCCAACCTTATAGTTTAGAATTGTCAGCAAGAAAAAATCTGAAAAATCTGTTAACATTGTAAAAATAGCAGCGACGATATCGAAGGAGACGCGGCGAAGACAAAGAAACTCGCCATCACAATACAATTTGATTTGTCGTCTTATCACATGATTTACAAATTTAATATTGTATAACTTTGTTATTCTTCGTTTTTAGCATAACATTAATTTACTTATGTTTTGTAAAGGATGGCAGTCTTGAAAAATAATTTTCCGATCACGATACATTGCCGTAATCGGAGCTGTACAGATTCTGAATGTTTCGAATAAAAAACGAAAATATCTCAAAAGCCTTATACCTTAGACTAGCTAATGTTTCTATAGTAATTAAAAAGCACGCTAGGAATTAATTTTTTCAGCATTTTTCGTAATTTATCTGCATTTGTCGTTGATAACTCCGTAAATAGTTGACATATTCTCATCTCTCTATCACTGAATTGTCGCCTATGACGTCAGAGTAGTAATTCGCCGAAATCCGACTGAAATATGCATATTGCCGTTTTTGAATTTCAGCTCTCAATCGCTCTTAAAATATGCTTTCAATAACGTTTATTGTATTCAGTATTTTAATAAACAAGGTTGTAGATAATATTTTTCATAAAATAACGATTTTTGAAAGATCATGCGATAAGTCCTTTAATGTGAGATTTTAACATACATCTTATATATCTAATCCATTCTGACAAAGTGTCAAGGTCTTCTTTTTTAGGTCCAGCCCATCCCCTGCGTAATCTTCCACAAAATTTATAATATTGATGACATTATGATTCCAGTTGAAAGATCGGGGTTCCCTAAATTTTTGCCCTTTTCAATCAAGTGATTTAAGGTCCTCATTACTAACTATATTTACATCACCAATAATAATGTGTCAAGCAAGACTATAGTTGAATGGCGAAGAAGAATATGAACACGATGGAGGATTATATATCAAATGCTCAATATCCAGGCTCTCTCATGTTTTCTTGTAAAAACATTTATAGGAAATACAGGGTGTAGTTTTCAATTGGAAATATGGTGGTATATAAGACTGGACTCTTTTGTTATTAAGATATTAGTTATATTAACCATGTTAACCGAGTCAATTCCTTTGTTGGCATATTGAAGTTTAAGGAAAAAACGGGTAGATTTAGCTCTATTTTCTTCCGTAAAACGTGGCGGTTTAAAAAGCCTATGATTTACAATATCCATAACCACAGATCTGAGCCTGTATTTCTAGT